CGTGGTCTCTTCCGTCGGAGCTCTGGCTACTGCTCTTGGACGAAGAATGCCGGGGGAAGTTTCGAGGCGGTGGACTCGGAGCGGATCTGCGACCTTCGTCGGCTGCAGCTTTCTTGGAACGATTTATTGATATCTTGGCGGTCTGTCGGCGAGCGGCATCGACTCCACTTATCTTCGATGTGTCATCGTGCTGCGGGCTCGACAAGCACGACGGATAGTGCGGGGCGGAGAGTCAGCGTTGGATGCACCTCTTCTGCCCGCTGGGCAGAGCTTGGAACTCTCACCTCTGGGTTCGAGCGCGGCGCCATCGGGAGTCTTGGCCATGCGTATGCCATGGTTTCGCAAAGAAGCGCAGGCGGGAAGATGCAATATTGACACAGTGCTGTGCGTCATGGCGACTGCAGAGGCAGGGCTACTCTCACGTGATCGTCAACGAAGATGCGACCGACGCTTTTTTCGAGTGTGTCACGGGACATCATGCTGGACACTTTACCCCTGCTGTATTTAGATGAAGATGTCAGGTTTCAACATCAACGTATCATTCAGAGTGCGTGCCAGATTCTCACACCGACCGAGTCCATCTGCTTGCGGCCTACAGCGGGCGATTTCATGGGGCACCCAAATGCGGCGCGTGGCTTTCCTTGCTTCTACCAGCGAGGTCTGGGGCCCTTTTTTTTACTATCCGTCAGAGGTCGACCTCGAGTTCGATGGCATTGGTCACTGAGCCGAACGGCGTCGTCACTGACGTGGGCCTGTCTCTTTTCGCGGACGATATCACCGAGCATGTCATCCCAGGGCCAGGTCCTCCACCGCTACGCATGGGCGGCGAAGCTCGTCATCCCATGGCACTCGCTCGTGTCAGCAGCGAGCATCTGGAGCGGGCTTTGGCCCAGATCGGAGTCGCCCTGAATCCTGAAAAAAGAGTCTCCCTGTTTACGATTGTGGGTCCTGGTTCTCGTTGGGCAGCGTCGTCTGATCTTCGGCGGGGACGTTGTCACGAAGGGCAAGGTGGGGAGGTTCATGAGAGTTCTGGGCGGGTGGCTTACTACGAGTGGGTCTTTGCAGATGGGAAAAGTTAAACGCATTCAGGCTGGGCGAGTAGGGCTAGGCAAGATCTCGCTTTTCTTGAGGCACTCCGCAGTCCTTGGCGTGAAACTTATGGCGGTGATCGCGTTCGTCCAGTCGGCACTGCTCTCGGGGATGAAGGCTAGGATTCCTGGCAAAGGTTTTTGTGCTGCCGCTGATCAGGTTTTGCAACAAGCCATGAGAAGGGGAATGGGGATCTTGGGATCGGAGGACCACGGTGAAAGTGAACATCGGCGCTGGTCGGCGGCGCGCGCGCGGGCCCTGTTGGCGAATCCTTCCGTGTGCCCAGGAGCTGCGTGTGAGGAGGTTGCGATGGTATCAGAGTTGGTGTAAGTATCCCGAGGCTCATCGACAAGCTCGAGCGAGTGTGTTTTGGGCGTCTTGGCTCCGAGGAGGTCACCACTTCTTCCTGGACTCTTCCGGAAAACGCCAACCCCTGGGCTCGTCAGGTACTTGAGGACCTTCAGAGCGGATTTGAGGGCTCCGAGGAGCTCCAGCAGTTGTTGCCACAGGATTACCCGCTCCTCAAGCTTCTCTTCGATCAAGAGTTCGTCGGGTGGGTGGACATCGATTTCTCGATACTACGTGCGCAGGCTTTTTCGAGGTCGGTTCCCCCGCCTGGATTTGATTCCACTCCTGTCGTCGCGGACGTCGACGAAGTGCCTGTCGTGAGCCCCTGCCAGTGTAACCTTCTGAATGTGGATGGGGCCAGCTGCGGGGGGAGGTTTGTGTCGTTAAAAAAGCTCTTGCTGCGCGCAGGGAGGGTCCACGCGGTCCGAAATGAGGCTCGCCTGCTGACGGTGGCCAATCAATGCTTTCGATGTTTGCAGGCCCTTGGATCTCGGGAGAACGCTCAGCGTCACGTGATGCGTTCGTGCCAGACAGGGAAGTGTGCCCTTGGACGGAGTTCGTACACGCAGGGCGAGGTCGTCATCCCTTCGTCGCTGAGATGCCCCGTCTGCAGTTACTTGGCTCAAGACTTGCACGCGCTTCAACTTCACATTCGTTCTCATTGCTCACAGCCGGCGCCTCAGCTGGCGCGCAGAAGACTTCGCCATGGACCTCGACGAACTGCTGCAGGGACACAAGGGCAGGGCCCAGGCGCCCCCCGAGGGCGAGCCAGCGGGAAAAAAAAAGGCAGGCTCGGAGAGATGGCAGACGCGGCCGACGGCGAGTCGGCAAAAGTGGAAGGGGCCTTGAAGGCAAAGGACATTCAACAGGCCTTGAACATCCTCTTGAAGATGGCTTGCGCTCATGCAAAGCAGCTCAGGGATCTGGCGGCGTCGGAGTGGATCTCGATCGTGACTCCCGTGGACTCTCCGCCCATCGTCGCGTCCAAGGCTGCAGGCAAGAAGTGCGCCGAAGTCACGGCAATCCAGGAACTGAAGAGCAAGGTGGGCCCACCTCATTTGTACATCGCGCGAGCCGCGTTCAAGTCGTTAAAGGAGGACGAGAAGGTTCGCCAGCTGCTGGAGCCGTCGCAGGTGCTGACTGCCTTTTACAATCAGTTTCTCTGCAAAGCATCGATGGAGGATGTGGGCTTAGTCATTCGCCACTTCCGCGTGCGGAAGTGTTACAGCGAGAAGTTCTGCCGCGTCCAGTTCAGCATCCCGGAGGGCTTCCAGGTACCGATGGGGGAGGGTCAGTCCGTCGTCACGAAGCTGCTGCTGGAGCAGTCGATGATCAAGGCCCTGATCCTCATCGGTGGCAAGCTCAAACTCGGCAGCGCTCCAGTCGGTCACCTAGAGATGATGGCGCAGAAACTTCTCGACCGTTCCAAGCCCAAGAGGAGCCGTGGCAGCGGCGATTGATGGCGTTGCACGATCGGATTCGGCAAAGAGAGCAGCGGGCATCGGTGGCGGCACCTTCATTATGTGAGTATCGTGATCGGTAACCCCTTCGACGCGATGCTCTTGTCAGAACGCGCCCTCCCACGTGGAGGAGCTCGCGTCGCCACTGGCGTGACGTCCCGTCCTGGGGGCTGGGGTTGGAGCGTGCTCGCTCCAGTCCCCTTAGCGGCGGGGCGTGGGTCAGGTTTTGCTGCCTTGAGTGTCGCCCTGTATGTTTGCTGTTACTCCATTTTTGAGTTCGTGGGAGACATGCTCGTCTGGTGTTCTGTGCTATGCGTACTACAATCTGGATTGGATCACTCTCATTACAGAACTCGTTCGTGTTCCTTTTCATGTACCTTGTCTTCTTCCTCCTGAACTTCCTGACGCCCGCCTCGCTGTACTTCGAGGCACCGCCCAGCTGCCGCCCTCCCTCCTTCCTCCTCCTGGGGTCCGGTGTGTCTTTGAGGGGCGGCCCTTTGAAATTCGGGAAGGTTCGGGCGATCTAGGGGCCTGTCTGGGGCCTGCCGTCCTGGAGGCTCGGCTCCTGTGGAGCCCGAGAGGTTTGTCGCCTCCCGCTCGCACGGGCCTCACAGTTTGCGATCGGTCTCGCACTCGCTCGAATGCTAGGCTGCACGGTGCGCTTTACCCTGACCTCGCTCGATATTCGCTCGAACGACTGTCAGAGGTGCTATGTTGTAATATTGTATATGCAGCATCAGGCATGATACATCAGACATGCAGCGCAATGCCGAGTCTTTTTCTTCTTCTTCTTCCTCGTCCCACGTGATCCCCTAGCTTGCAATCCTGGCTAGGCTTCGGCCCGACGCTTCAACCGCACTGGCGGCGGAGACTCGCCGTTGGCGTCTTCGATGAGCAAACACTTCGCCTAGCGAAATGGCCCAATCATGCGCAGTCATGTGCAGCGCAGGGCGCGGCCCTCTCTTCGTGCACTTGCTTGTTGCGGGGCAGTGTGGATATGGTGCTGCTGCTGAGCAAGCGTGCGCAGGAGTGCTGAACTCGGTGCGGGGCACGATCTTCGTGAAGGGGGTGCCGAATAATCCGGGTGTCCCCACGCGATACGCTAACTGAGATTGCAAGTGGAGCTCTCTATGGGGCACGACCCGTGTAAGGGATGTGCCGAAATGGGCGGGGGGACGCCGTGCGAAATTGCCCATCGGTGCCTAGGTGCTCCTCCTTGTGGGCACGATTCGCGTGACGGGTGTGCCAGAATGGGCTGGGGCACGATTCGAGAACCTTGTCTCTGGCGCTGTGGGCGGTACTCCCCAGGGGGCACGATCCGCGTGAGGGGTGTGCCGCAATGGGCGGGGGTGGGGGCGCTATGCAAACCCTGTCTCTGGGGCTGTCGGTGTAGTTCCCTATGGCCTGTGGGGCACGATCCGTGTCAGATGTGTGCCGAAGTGGGCGGGGGGGGCGGGGCGCGAATCTTGTCTCTGGCGCTGTGGGTGGTGCTCCCTGGGGGCACGATCCGTGTGACAGGTGTGCCGAAGTGATCGGGGCGACGCTGTGCGAAGCTTCCCTCTGGTGTCGTAAGTGCAAGCACTGCGGGGCAAGATCCGCGTGAGGGGTGCGCCGCTACGCGGGACTTCTTAAAGGTTGTCGGTGGAGCTCCTTGTGGGGGCACGATCCATGTGCGGGATGTGCCGACGTGGGTGGGGGGACGCTATTGAGACATGTATGCCCACGCTTGCGCAAGTGTTCCCATGTGTTGATCGTGGTGGGATGTCGTGCGTGCCCGCCCTCTGTTTGATATGACGCTGGCTTTGACTGGGCTAGAACCTCAGTGCGCGAAACGCGCGCGTGGTTCTAGCTCCAATATGGGAGAACTTCATTCCAACACCGTGGCGACGGTCGCCTTCCACTAGGCCACGCAATAAGACACACGCATAACGCCCAATCGGAACACAAAACGGCCGTCAACCCCACCCCCAGGGATACATAACATCCCAATGTGACAGAGCATGCTCCACTTGGACGCATAAACTACCAGTCGCCCCTCTAGAACGAGATGTTTGACCTAACCAGTTATCTCGCACGCCTCGTTCACCCCTTGCAAGCGGGGAGTTGGCGGATTTCTTTTGCAATCTTGACGCTGGTTGGAATGTGCTTGATCTTGCCATCGTGTTAACCGATACGGTGTACACGGTTCTATCAAGAGGAAATATTGCGCATTTTACCATCGCGCGAGTCTTCCGGGGTGCGAAGATCATCCGGGTTCTTCGTGTTCTTCGGCTCGTCCATTTTCTCAAGGAGTTGCGTCTTATATGGGATTGTTTGATCGGGTCCATCCGTTCACTATTCTGGAGTGTCGTTATGATGGTTCTGATTCTTTTTATGTTCTCCCTTGTCATAGTGCAGGGGGCCTCGGAGTACTTGGCGGACATCAGGGATGACCATGACTTCCGCGTATCGGGTACGATGCTCATCGAAAAGTTTGGTTCAATTGGAGATTCGATCATCAGCCTTTACCAAGCTATCTCTGGAGGAGAAGATTGGGGTGCATACCTCAAGGCAATTTCGCCGATTGGGCCGCTGTATTCCTACCTCTTCATTTGTTTCATCGGGTTCTGCCAAATCAGTCTGCTCAATATTTTGACTGGCATTTTCGTTGAAAATGCATTACAGAAGGCTCAACCGACAAAAGAGCAAATAGCCTTGGAGAAACACGAAGAAGAAACTGCTTTGAATAAGCACCTCCAGCGCTTGATCGATGCCTACGATCCGGATGGGGATGGGCGCGTCCCTGTGGAAGAATTCTTCCTCGGGGTGATCGGCAGCCCTCTCCATGTCTACTTGGATTCGATGGATGTTAGCGTGCAAGAGCTCAAAGAATTTGTGAGACTCATTAGCGCAGGCAAGAAGGGAGGCCCAAACGATGGAACAATCAGTGTGAAAACATTAGTTAATGGATGCCACATGGTCCGAGGCAGCGCCCGCAACTTAGACATGCAGCGAGTCCTCGTCGGCCTGAAGAGCATCAGGCGAAAGCAAGACTCGATTCTGGGTATTTTAAATGACCAGGCTGGGCTTACGGACGAGGAGCGTCGGCGGAGATCAACATTGGTTGAAGCATGCCGTTCGTATTGTGACTCGCCGAGATCTGAGCGTTCAGAGGGTCAATGATGCAGTTGACAGAAACTTCGGCCCTTGAGACGTGCGCGCTTGCAGCTAGGAAGACAGGGACTGATTGAAGCAACATGCGAGCCTTCCACATATCAAGTCGGCTAGAACCATTGCGCGAGCTTCGTGCGTGAAACCATTCTACGGCTCTTGGGCGCGTATCACGGAGGAGGGACCGTTTGTGAGTCCGCCGATACCTGTCCAAGACTGTTTTCCAGCGCTCTAAGGTGGCCTTCGATGGCCTCAAGGAGGCCCAGGAGGCCCCCAGGGACCCAGGCTGATCTCGGACTCGGCTCTCGGACCCTGAAAACTCGGACCCAGCTGAATTCGGACCCAGCTCAACTCGGGCCCAGCTCAACTCGGACCCAGCTGAACTCGGACCCAGCTAAATTCAGGCCCAGGTGCAGGTGAGCTCAGACCGAGGCCCGCGCTGCAGCGGGAACGCCTGGGTCCGAGTTCAGCCGGGCCGGAGTTCAGCCGGGTCCGAGATCAGCCGGGTCCGAGTTCAGCCGGGTCCGAGATCAGCGGCTCCGAGTTCAGCCGGGTCCGAGATCAGCCGGGTCCGAGACCAGCCGGGGCCGGAGTTCAGCGGGGTCCGAGACCAGCCGGGTCCGAGTTCAGCGGGTCCGAGATCAGCGGGCTCCGAGTTCAGCCGGGTCCGAGTTCAGCCGTCGGCTGAACACGGACCCGCCCGCGCTCGAGGTCTCGCGGCCACGCGCTCGCGCGACCTCCCCGTCGCCGCCGATTTTTGTTGGAGGCTCGGAGATGATGAGGCGATTGCTGATTTAACCACATCCGCCGACCCCTGGGTGCGTCGGAGGAGCACGCCCTCAACACCACAGCACTGTTCGCAGGAGGCAGTACTTGTGGGGGGAGGGGGGGAGCTCTTGTGGGGGGAGCTCTCGGGGGGGTTCTTCGGGAGCCGTCTGGGAGCTTCTACTGAGCCTCAGGGGGCCCTCCTGGGCCGCCCGTGGCGCCTTGCGGGCCGTGTTGGGGTCATCTTGGGCTGGGTGGGATCATCAACGATGCGGCGAGATTGTCCGACCCCGTCTGGAGTCCAGGTTTCTCGGTCTGCGTACCGCGGCAGCAGCGGCGGCCCTTGCGACACTGTACCCTCGTGGACCATCTTGTGGGCCTCTTTGGGCCGTCATGGCCCGTCGTGAGGCCCGTGGTGCGCAGCCGGGGCCGGCCGGACCCCCCCTCCCCCTTCCAAACCGACCGGACCGGGCCCCAGGGGGAGGGGTTCGGGGAGGGGGAAGCATCTCACACGCCGATGACCCCAAGGGGTCGGCAGATTCCGACCTGTGTTTGTTCGACGTGGCGTTGAGGAAGCCTTGGGGAGACCGAGCAAAAGCTGAGGAGTTTCCGAAACGTGTCTTAACATGGTCCATGATTTTCCTTCGTTTATTTCCGGTAGCTTTTCCATTCCCCGAAACGTGCCCCAAGAATGTCAATGTGCTGTTTCATGAATCCCCCCTGCTTGCTATATTTTACGTGCGTGTTGGTGCTCCTTGGTTGGGTCTCTTGCGGCACCAGGGCACACGTTGGTCAAACAACTCACCATGCCAGTCATTTCCCGCAGCAATAATGGGTAGGACATGCGGAGGATGAGTATCAGGAGGAGCAGCAACAACAACAGCACTAGCGTAAGCAGGTGGCGCAGAGCAGGGCAGGAAACGGAAAGGCGATGGAGGAGGAATGGTATGATGGAGGAGATAGGGGACACATGTGGCTGATCACATGTTGAGACCATTTAGGTTTTTTAAAAAACCCGTTCCAGATGGCATAACATGCTGGAGTCGGTTTCGCTTTCGTGTTGGAGGCGCCCAAAACGCTTGTCTCCCGTCCTCTCCTCCTCCTCCTCCTCCTCGTCCTCCTCCTCCTCCTCTTCCTCCTCCCCTGTCGAGGGCCTGCCCGCGACGCGTTCGCCCGGCGGCGTTTGGCCGCGTCGCGCGGCCCGTCGGCCAGCCCAGGCTGTCTCTCAGCATGCCGCGTGGGGCCGGGCACGCTTCCCTTCCCGGGGGGCCTCCCCGTCGTCCTCCTCCTTTCCCTCCTGTCTGCAGTGCGTCGTGGCCTGTCGCGCGCCCGCTGCACTACCAGCGCGAAGGCCGCCGGGAACGAGAATCTCAAGTTTGTTTCCCCCTCGGTCTGGGTCAGGGGCCGTGGCCCGCAGGCCGGAGGGAGTTCAATTGTGTCACTATCCTGCATGCAGCCGCGCAGGACCGGATGCTGACCGGGACCTTCAGATGTCACGACGAGGCGGGACTGTCGCGACCGACGAGGCGGGACTGTCGCGACCGCCTTGGAGTACCGAGTGGCTTCCGAGATGGCTTTGCATCGCTCGCTCCAAGACGGCCCCAAGACTGAGGCATGTGCGCGTTCTGTTGATAGTGCCTGGGTGCCTGGACCCCTTCCGCGAGTGGGCCCCGCAAGTCCTGGCGGCCCTGTCTTCCCACAGGGCCCGCCTCCCGCCCGGAGCCGTTTTTCCTGCCTGTCCTCCGCGGCTTTGCGAGGGCCCAGGCAAATGGCGTTTGAGGAGGGTGCACGATCAGTAGTGAGGCTGGTGGTGATGACTGTGACTGTGTTGATGATGAAAAGGGGGGATCAAGAGCTGAGGAAGTGGAGGATGATGCGGCATATCGGTTTCGCTCTGGGTGGCAGGCTGTTCTTTTCCCTCCTTCCTCGATTCGCTCCGTCGTCCTGCCTCGAAGGTGGCGGACGGAGGAGGGAGCAGGAAGGACGGGGTGAGCTGAAGTCGGGCATGTCCCTCTGCAGGAGGAATCTTCAAACATAGTCAGCAAATAACCTGGGGACGATGTTGTTGGAATGTGCTGTTGAATATGTTTGAGCATGTTTTGTAAAGCATCAATGTTTCATCCAAGATCCGCCTGTAGGGGGACATGCCCGACTTAAGAGTTAGCGGGAGAGAAGGACGGACGATACGCAAGTGGCATCCTACAAGAGCGACGCGTAACTGTCTGTGGGGAAGCAGCCATCGGGAGAAGGGATGAGGAGGATGAGGCGGGAGTGGGGAGGGGCACGCCTGAGGAAGAGAGGGCGAAGGGCGGAGGGAGAAGGGCAAAGCCACGGTGATGGCTTCCGGAAGGATGCGGTGCGTGCGCACGGCAGACGTGGAGACGTGCAGCCACAGCGTCGCGGCGTTGACTTTTTCCCAACCATCCTGTGGTGTTGGGTCCTCGTTTTGAAGAGACGGTGCCCCGCGTCTCCTCCTCCCGCTGCCCCCTCCTCCCTCCTGCCCCTCCGCGTCAGCCACACCCACTTCGGCACACCCCTCACACATTTCGTGGCCCCATAGGGAGCCCCACCGAAGGCCCCAGTGCTGCCGCCCGCATGCGTCCCGCACACCCACTTCGGCACACCCCTCACACGTTTCGGGAGCCCCACCGAAGGCCCCAGTGCTGCCGCCCGCAAGCGTCCCGCACACCCAATTCGGCACACCCCTCACACGTTTCGTGGCCCCATGGCCCCACCGAAGGCCCCAGTGCTGCCGCCCACATGCGTCCCGCACACCCAATTCGGCACACCCCTCACACGTTTCGTGGCCCCATAGGGAGCCCCACCGAAGGCCCCAGTGCTGCCGCCCGCATGCGTCCCGCACACCCAATTCGGCACACCCCTCACACGTTTCGTGGCCCCATGGGGAGCCCCACCGAAGGCCCCAGTGCTGCCGCCCGCATGCGTCCCGCACACCCAATTCGGCACACTCCTCTCACGTTTCGTGGCCCCATAGGGAGCCCCACCGAAGGCCCCAGTGCTGCCGCCCGCATGCGTCCCGCATACCTGTCATCACCGTGGGTTGACATGGGGAGCGGTGGGACTTGGAGAGAGGAGGGATGGGTTGCATATCAGCGCGAAGAGAGATCCATCTCGGGCACTGAGCCTAACAGGCTGGGCACAGCTAAAGCACGAAGGGGAGGGGAGGGAACCGACCCGAGAGACACGAGGGAAACCAAACATAGATTGGGGGGACGGCGGGCTAAAATCTCGCGGGCTTAAAGCTGTCCGCGCTCCCCCCGAGTCGCCGTCTCTCCTCCCAGGTCTTCTCCTCCCTCCTTCCTCCGTCCGTACCCGGCCTTGCCCCGCGCCCTGTCCACCACCTTGGGGTCCTCCAAGGTCTGGGGCGGGCGCGTCTGCGGGCCAGGCGGCGTCGTCGTCATCGCCGCCACAGCCGCCGCTCCACGGGGCCCCGAAACAACCTTACAGGCTCTAGAACAGTACGAGAGAGCTGCCCCACAGCTCTCCTGAGACAAGGAAAACCGAGACATCACCGTCTCCCCCGAGGGAAATCCAAACAGGGCTCTCGAGCCCTGGAGCGTCAGACTCTGTGGCGGCCAGCATTTTCTGGCTGGCGCCTCTCGATCTCGACTTCAAACTTGCATTGAGCGAGCGCTCGTCCAGGTGCCCGTGCTCGTCCACGAGCACCAAGGTGCCCTTCGAGAGGAGGTCTCTTAGAGCATGATTCCCCGAGGAGGGATCTACCTTCGTGAGAGGATCCGAGGGCATTCTAGCGTGCGGAACCCAACGCATACGAGAACCGACCGAGGCGAGCGAATCTCGAATGACCGCGAGCTCCACAGCATTTCTCCTGTCGGCACGAGAGCCCGCTGAGTTTCGACTCAGCACGTCGAACACAGACTTAGCGTCTACCACTGACAGCCCTGAGGCCGCATCTCCTAGCTGGCATTCGCTGGCCAGCATCACGGTGAAAGGCCGCTGATTGTCAAACCAAGCCGGCCTAGGAACGTCCCCAAACACAGCATCGCGCCAGAGCACCTGAATCCACTGAGCTTCTCCCGTGGCACCCGACAAGGCAAGAGTTTCAGCAGCCACGGTGCTGGACACCGCTCTCTTGATGCGCAGCGATCTCCACGCTAAAACACTCACACGCGCGCGACGGTTGTCGCGTATGATCGAGTCCGCAGCAATAATGATCCAGGCCCCTTGGGCCCCACCACGGCGCGCACTCCCAGGCCCGCCGGCATCGCTCGCAGTAACAAAAGTGACTGAGGCAGGATCCAAGTTCCTGATCGTGAGTCTCTGCTCAGGCGATGCTTACAGGAACTTGCAAACCTTGATCAGTGCGAGCGCATCTGCCACACAAGGCGTGGGCAGGGCAGCCGCAAGCAACGAAGCTGACCCAGCAACATCCGGGCAAGACTCACGTGCGAGCCACTGAACTTGTGCGGCCACCGTGCGGTAAGAGCTGATCTCTTCCCGGGTGAGCGGTGATTCGACCTGAGACCGACGATCCTTCCCCAAGAACATGGTCGAAAGCTGCTCCCGAATATATTTCTCCTGATCCACAACGATTCGATCGGGCAGTTGGCAGAGACGCCGTCCAGCGTAATCGGCCTCACGCTCCTTCCATTTCCCGAACTTGAATCGATCCGTGAGGGCCTGCTTCAGAGACTTCATGACGGTCTCTTCACCAGACAGGAGGAGATCGTCAACCTCGATCAGCACTAGGGCCTCCAGCCCTCCCAACTTGCTTCTCTTCAGCCAAAGACATGGCTCTAAAAGAGACTTGACAAAACCGAGCGAGGACAGGAAGTCCGTAAGAGTGCGGTGCCAGAGCAACGGAGCATCATTAAGGCCATACACCGGCGCAACCAGCTCAATTAGGGAGCCCACGGGCAGGCTAAGCCCGGAGCAAGGTTCCACATATATTGCTCCATTCGGACGCTCCAAACGATTCGACTGGCAGAACGCGTTCTTCGCATCAGCGATGTTCAGAACCCATTTCATGGAGGCAATAACCTGCAAGGTGACGAGGATACTCTCAGTCTGTGGCGTCGGTGCGTACACGGACAGATGTTCGCCGTCGGGGTCCTGGTGCCCGTGAACACAGCGCGACTTCGCCTTCGCCTTAGCTCCAACCCCTTCCATCGGCTTAAATCGGCGCACCATGCGAGACGATAACACACGATCGGGATGGCGCCTGCGAGAGCGAGGCGTGCCTGCGAGCGAGGCGTGCCTCGTCTGGGGAGAGCACTCGCACTGCGCCGGAGGACAGAATCGCTTCCCACTCTGCAGTGTCAGATTCTGCAAACTGAGCGCGTTCCTCTGGAGTCAGATTCTTCATGACCACCTCAGCTCCCCGGGGGTTGGATGGCTTTCCCGATCCCGAAACCGTGGCCGTACCTGAAAACTCGGCCGACTCTGAAGAATCCTGGAAGAGAGCTAAGTAGTTGGGGGCCCCCCTCATGGCAGACCATCGCTGCAGCTCAACCAGGAGCTCAGCGTCCTGGGAGTCGTCCATTTCATCCAGGCCTCCAGGAGGGGTCTCAGCCGGGGCTCCGTCTCCCCTCGGGAGCGTCGGAACCACATACCTTCCCAGGTCCATAGGTTGCGGGGGGGGGGCAGGAGCGCCAAGCGCACGACGCAAATGCTCCGGAAGTTCCGTAGAGGGGGAAAGGGAAGGAACGCGAGCGGAGGAGGACGAGGCAGCGGGAGAGGACCCGGAGGAGGGAAACGGAGCATACCGTCTCGCGGACGGCCTCGGAAGCGACACCGACCTCAAACGAGGGACTCGCCCCCATACGTGACAGGGATGGTGATCTGGGGAGGGTCCCGGGGGCATTCCGTTCGCAGCGCGAACGTTCTCGATTTCCCGAACCACAGTGGCCACTCTGGCGGCCGGGCCCACCACGTCCTCAATCGGGGTTAATCGGGGCCGCACGGCCCTGTCGTCTTCTGAACCCAGGGGTCTGGCGATCCCTCGAGAGGCGGTGGAATCCAGCTCGGAGGGCGCTGGCTCTGAACCGCTCGTGGCCCTTGCCATCGAGGGCTCCGACACTTCAGGAATCTGCGTCTCATCTCGGCTCGGCGGCTCGGCGCGCACCTCAGTCGTCCGAGGAGCCGAGGCGGGAGCAACAGCTGGGGTCGACGCAGGGACGGCGGCAGCAGGGTTCAAGACCCGCGTCTCAGAGCTGGGCGCCGCCTGGTCACCGGCGTCGGGCCCGTCCCAGGCCTCAGGGGGAGGGGGCCCCTCCGCCGCAACGTCAACAGCTCCTGTCTGACGCCCCGGGGCCCTGACCTGCTCGCGCAACACCTCAAAACGAGCCGAATCCAGCAACTCAGCGCCGAGGGACTCCTGACGAGTGGCAGGCCTAACTTGCTCCTCGGAGCACTTGAGTGAGCGGGTGCTCATAGCCACCCACACCGTTCCTTTACTTTGATAAACTACGGCCCCGGGACCAGTCCACCTGTCGCGTTGCAGTGAGTGAGATCGGTTAGACCCCGTCAGCCTCCTCCACACGTACACCCATTCCCCTGGCTTGAAAAACCTTTCGGCGTGAAGCCGAGCGCGGCTGGCCTCGGACAGCCGAGAGCGTGCGTCCATGCCATGGCAGCCATGGCCTTGCGAGCCTCTTGGCGCAAAACGTGACGTCGAGCAAACTCCGCGGCGGCAGAGTCCTGCTGAGAGGTCCCTCCGAGCACATCTTCGCAGCCAGCCAGGTCCAACTCGTCGTCAGACAGCAGTGATCGGGGCACTCTCGGGGCCCTACCCAGAACCATCTGAACCGGACTGAAACCCCCTCGATGGTACGTGCTGTTCTT